AATGTGAATTATTTTATTCCATAACAACCTTTTGGTGCATAATTAAGTAAAATTAATAATTTTCCCTAAAATTTCATGCCCAGACCTTTAAAATGAGACCTCTCCCAGCTTTCTACGGCCTCCCGTTCGCTCACAATTTCATTGTAAAATTTGGGGCTTACGGTATTAGATATATAGAAGATAAGTCACTTCGCTTTAATACGCACTACAAAACATTCATCTTTGCGCACTGCATATATTAGTCAATGAATTTATTCAAAAATTAACTGGAGCAAAAACTCATAATTAGTTAACTCATGGCTCCACGCTTGCCAACCAGTAGTCAAGGCGACGACGTTTTCTTCAATAGCTTCAACAATATTGTCTTCAGTTAGTGGCTTGTTCAAATCAGAAGACCAATCCGGCCACAAGTCTTGACTACAAGACAGCCATTGTGGACCTGACCACCATTCATTGCAGTGTTTCAGATTATCCACCGTTTTACCTCGAGTCGCCATATCAGCTGGATTTTCGTCAGTAGGAACGTATCTAAATTTGTAGATATTAGCCTAGACACCTATTTATTATCAATATTTTTACCTTTGGTAGCCTAAGGTGTCCAAAATTCTTATCTCCTGCGAGACGCGTTTCGCATTAATTACAATGCATCTTCAGTCGCTGTCACAGGTCTCAACATTGCCCACAGAAGTGGTTGTCACAATTTATAAAACATATTAACATAACCGTACAGTTCACGAAACACATATGTATATACAGTACATAGTTTTACAGTCGTAAAACTGTATATACATATGTGTTTCGTGAACTGTACGGTTATGTTAATATGTTTTATAAATTGTGACAACCATTTCTGTGGGCAATGTTGAGACCTGTGACAGCGACTGAAGATGCATTGTAATTAATGCGAAACGCGTCTTGCAGGAGATAAGAATTTTGGACACCTTGGGCTACCAAAAAGGTAAAAATATTGATAGTATCATTTTATAAGTACTTTGTATATGTATAAGTACAAAAAGTAAATCTTTTTTATCCACAACACTTACGTATTTTTATTTGTTTTTATAAAATTTTCTATTTGATATACTACTTAAGTAATAGTGTAATAACTCATAAAAATGTTTTTCTTACAGTTTTATTGCTATTAACATGTTTTTTACTCATTATTGCATAGTTTTTGTACTCCCGGAGGTAACTTCCATGAGCGCCCTTTGGTGTTTGAAAATCAATGCGCCCGACGGAAGGTTAAGTGACAACGGTGGTGAGTTTGATAGTGGTATTGTGAGACAAATATTACAGCATCATGGGATTGAGCACAGGTTAACAATGCCATACTTGCCTGAGCAAAACGGCTGTAGTGAGCGAGACAACCGGACATTGGTCGAGACAGCACAAGCAATGATGCACGCCCATGAGACAATACCAGAAATGTTATGGGCTGAAATGGTCAACACAGCGGCCTACATTTTAAACCGAACTGGTCCATCAAGTGTACAAGAGATATCTCCTATTGAGCTGTGGTCAAGAAAGAAGCCAGTAATAAAGAATCTAAGGACCATAGCATGTAATTGTTATGCACATGTTCCTAAACCTAAACGGAAAAAGATGGAAAAGAAGTCAGTAAAAGGGATCTTAATTGGTTATGATGATAACGATGGATATCGAATTTGATGTAAGGAAAATAACTCTTTGATTAGATCAAGAGATGTAATTTTTCATGAAGAACCATTATTTCAGAGACCCTTGATACAGTTACAAAACCACGAACCATCAAAACCTCAAGAAGAAAATACTTCAAAAGAAATAGGAACTGGGGAAAATATCGTTGGACTGGATTCTGAGGAAGAATCAGAAAGAGATGAAAGTCCGAAATACGAGTTGCGAAAGCGTGAAGACATCAAAGCTCCCAAGAGACTGGAAGACTATGTAATGTTTGCAATGTGTCATATGAGTGACATACATGAACCGCAAAATTACTATGAAGCAATACAATCTCAAGAAAAGGAAAATTGGAAAAGAGCAATGGATGATGAAGTGAAATCGCTAAGCACTAATAAAACTTGGGCATTGGAAAAGTTACCTGATGGCAATAAAGGTATACCTTGCAAGTGGGTATATAAGGTTAAAACTAATCCTGATGGTTCAGTTGATAGGTTCAAAGCAAGGCTGGTGATCTAAGGGTACTCACAACAGAAAGGAGTGGACTATTTCGAGACATTTAGTCCTGTGGCTAGATTGGGAACAGTAAGAGCTCTGTTAAGTACTGCAGCTAATGAGAAAATGTCACTGAAACAGTTTGATGTTTCTACAGCCTTCCTTTATGGAGACCTATAAGAGGCAGTCTATCTGAAACAGCCGGAGGGATACGATGATGGTTCAGGAAGAGTATGCCGTTTAAGAAGGAGTTTGTATGGTCTCAAACAAGCTCCTCGGTGTTGGAATAAAAGAATTGGCAACTTTCTGATTCAACTTGGCTTAAATAAGAGTGAAGCAGATCCCTGTTTGTTCATTAAGAATGAGGGTGTAAAGAAGCTTCTGCTTGCACTCTATGTGGACGATGGGCTGGTTGCATCAACGGATCCTGAAATGCTCGAAGACTTCATGAAAGACTTGAAGCAAGAGTTTAAAATAGTAGAAAAACCGGCGTCTTACTTTCTTGGGCTAGAAATAAAGCAAGAAGAAGATGGATCTATAAGAATTAACCAGGAGGGATATACCAAAAGAATTCTGAAACGTTTCGTCATGGAAGACTGTGCAAACCGGCAATGACCCTTATCATAAAGGACACAACAGTAGGGAAAGTAGACCTTCAAGAAAAAGTGTCTAAAGTATTCCCCTACAGAGAATGTGTTGGAGCATGTATCTGGTGTCCGGAACGCGTCCCGATATTGCTTTCGCTGTGGGGAAAGCATCACAGTCATTAGAGAACCCTTCATATGAAGACTGGATTAAAGTTAAAAGGATACTAAGATATTTGAAAGGTACAATGAATTTGTCTTAGGAATATTAGTCAAATCATAAATCAGGACTGCTAGAATGTTACTGTGATGCTGATCATGCTGGGGACAATAGCAGTGGACGTTCGACAACTGGGGTTGTTTGCATGTATAGTGGAGGAGCTATAACTTGGTTCAGTCAGAAACAATCATCTGTAGATATTTTAAGTACAGAAGTTGAAATTGTTGCTGCAAGTGAAGCTTGTAGGGAAATAATTTGGCTTGTTAGATTGCTAAAGGATATGATAAATCTAAAGCAGTTGCCGATACTTTAATACTTAAATACTTTTTAATACTTTTCTTTGAAATGGCGACCATACTAAGTAGGTCGATCCTGAATATAGACAACATAGCAGCAATACGCCTAGCTGAAAACCCTGAAAATCATAGAAGAACGAAACATATTCAGACAAGACACTTCTTTGTGAGAGAAATGGTTTCAGAAGGCAGCCTGGCCGTTGAGCATATGCCAGCAGAATTTCAGTTAGAAGACTGTTTGACCAAACCACAGCACAGACCACGACTGAAGACCGTGTGTGAAGCTATGGGATTGAAATAAACTTTATTGAAACAGTTATAAACATGAGGGAAAGTGTTGAGATTTAGTAATATCTCTAATCATGTTTCTAACAGTCTGTGTTTAATATTAATTATTGTTTATTTAAGATGATTTGGTAGTGTTAAAGTTTATTTTGATTAAACAACATTCATTCAGGTTTATGTTAAAATATTTTTTTTATAGTTTTCTGGTTAGTGATTATTTGTAGATTCTCAGAATATTCAACAGTTTGGTGTGGTTCATCTGGATGAGTATATCAATTGATATCTTTTGTCCTTATCAGAAATCAATATCTGACAATACATTTGACGTATGTGACAGGTAAACACAATTTTATGACATCTGAAATACAGTAAAACATCAATGATATCTTTTTGAACTTTGGACCAGGCATGAGAATGTCGTTCAATGAAAAGCCATTAGCAGTAGTTTTAGCGCAGCGGTCAAACACAACATGTATTTTTTAATTCGGGGGATTCTCCTTGAAGGTGAGGTGAGGCAAATAATAGTACTGTATTCAGAGGTGGGAGGTTCTTTACAAATAGTCATATGATCTGATTCAATGTTGTCATCCATAAATTCAGAATAGAGCCTTTGTAACTCGGGTTGATTAGAGAATTTCCTTTCCATAGAGGTAAATCTGAAGTGAACTACATGTGGTCACATGGAACAGTGAAAGGCCTATGGTGATGTTTGGAGCAAGTCTGACACACTTTACTTGAGGGGCAGTTGTGTGTGTTATTAAGTAATATTAAGACTCTTAACTAACTCTAAGGGCTCACCACTCAGGGCACTAAGCAAATATTGAAACTTATTCACTGGGGAGAAAGAATTATTTGCATTAACAGAAGCTTCAACAATATTGTAAAAACTAACCCACTCTTCATAGTTACCACTAAATTTGGGCAACTCAAATTTAGGCAGGCGCAGAGATGCTTCAGATAGTAGGTGATACAACAGATTCAACTGGTAAAAGAACTGGCTGCACACTAGATTTTTTTACTTCATGTCAGATCAAAAAAGTTACCTATGGGTCTCGGCTCGGGTCAAAATCAGGTTTGTTCAAAATCGATTTGCTTTAGAAACTGTTATTTTTTTTTAATAAAATATTGATTTTCGAGCCAAGCAGAGCCTGGCCTACAAGCTTGAGAGGACCGAAAATCGAGCTTGAGCCGTGCTTTATTTCCGTGATAACATTGCGACCGCAAGGGGCGTCTGCGAGGATCACGCTCACGAGGTTGGAAGATTAACGATTTTGAAGCGATTGCAGATATCGACAAGAACATTTATTCTGCTGTTCAGTGCAAATAACAGTAATAAAATTAAATAAACAAAAAGTGATCAATAAATAGCAACAATAAATTATGAAAAATGAAAAAAATCAATGTTGTGACAGACGATAGTATAAAAATATGAATAAAATGCAGTGTCAAAATTTTAAAACTCACTCCTTGTTTTTGGCTGGTCTTGTCACGACACAATGAAATTTCCATCCAAAGTCCACATACAAGTCATCCTCAACAACATGAAAAATTGTACCAGATACCACTTTCCCTTCAGGATCACCAAGCTGAAAACATTTGAAAATCAAGAAATGTTTGCTTAAGAGCATGATATATTTTTACAATAGAAAGTTAGGTATAGCATTGACTGTCAAAGGTTACTACGTTAGGTATTGCCTACAGAAAGATTTATTTGCTGAAACATTTTTCATTGTACAAACCCCCATTGCAACATCTTCTGCCCTTTGCAACCCCTTTGCAACACATCTAATTTGAACTAAGCAACAACAAAAAACTGTGATATGCAATGAGAAATGTCAAAGTAGGATTGTTTACAGTTATGTTTATGTTTTTAATGTCATGAACAATTTGTGATTTTTTAAAGATTTTTTAATAATTTATTTTTCCTTATTGCTTAGGTGAAGTGGTAGAACATTATGGCTATGGTAGATGTGTAATACCATAGTATACAGTCAATTTAAAGAAGCAAATTTTATCAAACTTTGTCCTCCCCCACTGCAAACGCAAAGCTTGAGTATAACTGCAATTTTAAACTTATATGCCAACCCCGTACGAAGGACGGGTACTACTCTGCTAGTATAAATATAAATAAAAGAAGTAGTTATAATAAGCTTAAAAATTGTCTTGTTCATGTTTTTAACCCTAGTTCCCGATAACTCGGCATTTCACAAACTCGGACCCTTCCAGTCCACATTACGCCGAGTTTGTGGGACTCTACTGTATCACCTGCATTTTTCACCAATTTATCAACTCTAACCCAGCAGTCCTTGCAATACCGGTACCACTTGACATGCTTGGATACATTAGTAATGCCAATATACATGACCAAATTAATATTTAGGCTAAGCAATTTGGGTGATACCATTGCCCACAAAAACCTTCACAATATAATCCAAAACCATCTTCAGGGATAGGCCCAACTGATTGACAAACCGCACATGACTCATCATTCTCGTTGTTATCTCCACCACTTTCTTTCTCCGTTTCTTGCACAAGATTGGTTTCGTTCTTCATTATTTTAGTCTTCCGCTTTTCAGTTTTCATTTTTAATTTGATTTCAATTGTTTTCCAATGACGCAATAGGCTATCTAAAAATACTTTAAATTTTTACTTTTTCCCTACAGCACAATCAGAACAATTTAGACCTATCTTCGTTTTACAGTCACTTAGGAATCTCTCCGACAAAAACTGATTGCAATAAGCGTGAAAAAACAGTACCGGTAAGTAGACATCTAAAATTTACATCCTCCAAGTAACATAAGTTAGGTACTGTACTAAATAATTGCCGGGATTTGTTTTTATAATTCGTACTCATTATGGTGGCCTAAACTTCACTCAAGTGAAATTACAGGCTACAACATGGAAACAGGCTTTAGGCCTAAGTTAGCTAGCTAGACTCCCATACTAATTTATCTTAATTATCTTATCATAATTTATTTCCTCCGTGAAATTACCCTTTTCCCTGCATGGTTACCCTTTCCTCTCGATGATTAACCACGTCAATTTCCCCCCACCCAAAACCCCAAATTCCCACCAGGCCCCCTATAACGTAGGAATTATTGCTGATATTTCCAATTAGTAATAAAAGGAAGCCTCTCCCCCAAAGAGGTTAGGCCTACTTAGCCTAACAAAGTTGTAACTTAGTGTAGATGTCAAAGAACAGTTTAAAAGCGTTTTTAGAAAGTTTTATGTGACGTGTGGTACGTAAACAATAACCCATAGGCTAAGGTACCTATCTTATAGGTAGGCCTAGACTTATTTATCATGCATGTAAACCTTTTAATGATTGCATGTATCTCTCTGTTTACCTTGCTTACTATTTATTGACATGATCTATTGCATTTTATGTATAATGTTTAATGATCAAATAAATCTACTATAGCCTAGGCCTATCTACTAAAAACTTACGTCAATGAACTTTGAATTTTTTAATAGACTTAAGAATGTTGGTTCTTCAGTTGCTATGATTTCATCTTGCTTAGAAAATTTTTCGTAAGATTTGGCAAATCCACCTTTTTTATCATCTCCAACCATAGTTAAATTGTCCGTTGTTTGAGGTGTGCAATAATGCCTGACACTAGGCCTATCAAAACTAGGTTTAGGCCTAGCCCAACTTAAACTTATCACTGAAGATTTAAATTTGTTCATACTGCAATGTCTACCAACTAATAATAATGATTTTCCACACATAACTGACTTAGCGAAGGAAAACACCATTTTATGTAGTACAATCACAATTTTTCACAATGTTAACACATAGCCTAGATGTAGTAATGTTAACACTTCTAACAACAGTTAAGGTGTAGGCTAACCTAAAAATAAAAATGCTTAAACAAAGTTGTTATCTTCTTATGAGCAGATCAATCCCCAAAACGATGTAGTATAAATCTTAAATTAATTATAATGTTGCTGATATTTATATTAACAAAATATTACTATTTATTTAGTTAAAGGTTAAAAATTTAATTCAAACACCAAATTTGTCGACTTATTCACACTTTACACTACACTACCACTACAGTCACTCACTCACTACACACACATTACTTCTACATTCTACTTTCTCAACGTTCTCAACAATAACAGTAACAATAACAATCTCACTCAATCTCAACCACACTTACACAACTCAGACTGGCAGACTGAGACTGGACTGGATAGTGATGGATGGGGGCCATGGGGGCATTGACTTTATATCTACACTGAGGGGCACGATTTGTTTTTCAGGATTAATTTTGCCAACAGTGCCAACAGTGTCATTTGGAGGTTTCTGAAAAATTAGTTATGTTCATTAAATAAAATTATAAATGCCTCAAATTCAATTTTATATTTTTTAAATCATGAAATTAAACTGTCATAACCTAACCAAACTAACCAGACTTGCTGATAATGAAAATTCGAATGAAGGTTTAATCTAAAAAAATAGTTCTGTTCATAAAATAAAACTATAAATGGCTCAAATTCAATTTTATAATGTTTTAATTATAAAATTAAAATGTCATAACCTAACCAAACCAACCAAACTTGCTGATAATGAAAAAATCCTAGACAAAAAGTTAGTGCTATCGGAGGGATTCGATGGAGGCTTCTGATTGACTATAATGAAGGTTTACTCAATAACTCGTTTATTCAACCAAAGTAACAAATGCAAATTTGCATTAGTCGTGTCAAAAAAAATATATCTTTAAGTCTAAAATTAAAATAAAACAATTGTGCTTCAATCAAACTAGATTTACGAGTGACAACCTTCTTTAAACCTAATCAAAATTAAACCCATCAGCGACACATTCACGGACACTGTAGCAACTTTTGGCCAAGAGTAATTTTTTACTTGCCTTTTGAAGCGGACCAAGTCCGGCTCCAGCTGAAGGGAGGGAGGAAGTAGATTGAAAAGTGTAATGCCGTTGTAATGGAAGTGTCTCTTAAAGAATGACGTTGAATGAGATGGCAATTTAAGATGTGAATTGTTACGTAGTGTATATGAATGAGTAGGTGAAGATTGATATTGGTGTAGGTTCTTTTTAATGACAGTCAAAGTTTCTAAAATGTATATTGAAGGAAATGTTAAAATTTGTGATGAAGCAATAGTTATTTGTGCAACTAGTGAGAAAAGTGAGCAATTGACTCACTCGAGAGAAATCCTTACTCACGAGCCGTAGGCGAGTGAGGAATCGTTTCTCGAGTGAGGCAATTGTACTTTGAACTCGAGTTGCACATTATACTTTTCCTACAGTTACCATAAAACAAATAAATTTGTAAAGAAACATAACCTATTTTTACACAGAAGTGAACTTTTAATATAATAGTTAATGTGAAGTGACCAGTACAACAGCTGACCAGCTGATTTACAGCCAGTGTTGCCAACATATTTCGCGCGCATACGACGTTGCCTGCATGTTACGCGCTCACTATTTCGTGCCTTCACGTTGCAAATCTGGAGTGAGACAAAGTAATTAGAGTGAGACAATGTTAACATTGTCTCACTGATGAGCGAATTGGCCTCTTTGCTTTCTCAAATCAGTGAGAGAACATGTACATTGTTAGGTAACTGTAGGAAAAGTACTATGTCTGCAAGATGTTCTTCAGTTCTTCTATTCAAACCAAAGATTATCCTGGCTGCCTTCTTCTGGAGCCAGAAGAGGAAAGACGTTTTCCCACACTCACACCCCCACACCGGCACTGCGCATGGTGGAAGGAAAAAACATAGGTGTGCTATTCCCACATATTCTGACGTAACTCGGATTGCAAACAAAAGATCACCTGATTGTAACTGTAAAATTAGTATGTACTAGCTGTGTACCCGTTCTACGCACGGGGATCTTATAATATTCAGTTGAAACCTTCTTATATAAAGAACAGCAGTTGGTTTGCATATTTTAAGATATGCTGGCCAAACTATTATACATAGCTTCATTTTATGTTGTTTTTTGTTGTTCCGGATCGGTATGACAATCAATAAAAGGTTAAATTACCTCTGTGTCTGCCGGTCGATCCTATAACGGTAGGCTTACTTTTATTTTTACTATCTGATCTCGTTTGCATGGCTCAATCACGTCCTGGTTGAAGTTCGTTCGCTACGCTCACTCACCTGTATGTTGGAGCTCGTTCGCTGCGCTCACTTTCCTTCAGGTTAGCTCGTTCGCTACGCTCACTTGCCTTCAGGTTAGCTCGTTCGCTACGCTCACTCGCCTCCAGGTTGCAAATTAGCTGTTGTCATAAATGTAAAAGAAATAATAGTGCTAGTGCTGCACCCTGTTGGTAATCCTTGTAACTTTAATGCTATTGAACATCACAGAACAGAACCAACTTGTTTAATTGAAACAGCTGTTAAGATTCAATAATTTCATTTCTCATAAGGTTAACATGGGCTTCCAGAAATTCCACGTCAAAAATCGACAAAAACTTGATTTTCAAGGGTTTACTGTTAAATATCTAACTGTCTCATATTCGATGAAATACGTCTAAAACCATCTCATATATGTATAGTATTTGGAAAATAAGTTTCAGGCGGGACAGTGCTATAGTTATTGAGGAGTAGTTGTAATAAAGTGCGTATTTTAGCGTTACCAAGAGAATGACAGATAGACAGACAGACAGACAGACAGACAGACAGACAGAAATTGAGATAAGGTTTGATTCGGTTTCTCTGACCTATGAAATGTAAAAATAACCAAAAAGTTCATTATTCTAAGCAATGTACAGACAAAACTCTAATTTTATTTATATAGATTTGTTTTGATTTGATTGCAGTGCCAGCCCCCGCACTCCAAGACAAGAAAGATTATCAAGAAGTAACATGTGACCCACCATATCGAACGCTTTGCTCAAATCAAAGAAGATGCCCATTGTATGTTCACCTGCATCCAATGAATTTACCAAATTTGATATAAGATCGGTCATTGCATCTGTAGTGGTTTTGTTTTTTGTAAATCCATATCGTTTCGGTGAGGAAGATACTGTTGCAAAAGTCCTGGGATAAAAGTAAAGAATGGGATTACCCTCTCCCGTTGGATTTACTAAAAACCTTCAAGAAATGGCTGGCGCAGGTACATTTATTAAAAGAGTTGAAGATTCCTCGAAGATTGATTGTAAATCAATCCAGTTCTCTACACATATTTTGTAAGGCAAGCCAGAGCGCTTATGCCTGTTGCATTTTTATATGGACTGAAACTGTAGAAGACGTTAAACTTAGCTTAATAATGGCTAAGTCAAGAGTAGCCCCTATAAAAACGCTCACTCTCCCAAGGCTAGAACAAATGGCTGCCCTGATGGGAACTTCGAACCTGAGATGACACCATCAAATACTACAATTGACACTGATGGATTAACTGTGAACCAGGAAGAAACTATCTCGTTACCACAAGGTCCAACAAAGAACAACGTAAAAACTCGAAGTGGCCGAGAGATAAAACCACGGAAAATCCTAGACATGTGAATGGTTTGATACGAATTGTGACGTTTACCTACTGATTTTATGAATTAAGTGTTTGTAAATTGTTGTCGAACTCCTCAATTTACAAAGGTGGGGAGTGTGTTACGATTTGAATTTAATAGACTTAGGTTTCATACCCACAATTTAAAAGACTTTGGTTTAATTAATTACTGTACTGTGTGGAACTAACATATGACCATATGTTTGATTTTTATTCTGATTTGTAAACGGAGTACCGGTAGTAGTAGTGATATGAATCTTTTAAGAATATAAAGTTTCTTTTAGAAGTGAATAAAACAGGTTTTTATTTAATTACTCGTTAGAATCTGAAACAGGGAATATTTAGTATTTTTTAAGGATTATTCCCCTAAGTTGTAAAACCTGGGTTTCTGGCTCGACCCCAGGTTAATTGGAGGCACCACATAGACAAGGCATGTGACAGATTAATCTAGAGTTATTTACCTACTAAGAAGACTTCGCCCTACATTAAGTCAACCCTCTCTGCTGATGGTCTATCACGCCCTCTTCCACAGCCATGTGGCTTACGGCCTTGTCCTATGGGGCCATTCTACTGCAGCCCAAGAGATCCTACTGCTCCAGAAGAAAGCCATGAGGATAGTGTCATCTGCTGGCTACAAGGAGCACTGCCGTCCTTTATTCATCCGACAAAGGGTGCTCATACTGTATTCAGCCAGTATATCCTCGACATCCTTGTACTCCTCAAGGACAAGGTGGGACTCTTTGGCAGGAGGGAGGAGTCCACACCTACAATACTCGCAGAGCCCTAGACCTCGACATGCCTCGGTGCCGACTTGCGCAGACGATGAGGAGTTGCCCGCGTTCGGCAATAGGGTATACAACACCTTGCCCAAGCGAGTGCGTGACATGGACCTGCCAGACTTTAAGAGAGCGATTCGTGATGGACTGCTCAATAGGTCATTGTACGCCTTGCAAGAGTTGGACAATAAACCCCTTTTCGTAACGTGACACGTCCGCCATGAAAGGTATATATATATATATATATATATATATATATATTTAGTGTTTAGTAAATATGTAAATAGAAATAAAACATGACGCAATCTATCCGACATGTCGGTCAACGATGGAGAAGACAAGTATTTCAAGTAAGTAAGGGGGATTTCGAGTGCTATGCTTTTAGCACAGGTCTTTCGAAGCTTAAACTTGGATCTATTATCTATACTACTGGGAGTGGTCCTAACAACATATTAATAGCCTGGAATTAGGTAAATCGTGTTTCTAAGCCAACCCCAACTCTTTAAATGCCCCGCAAATCCTAATGAATTCAATGAACATATTCTGGGGGAAATTGTGACAAAATTGTTGACTCAGTAAACCCTGACAGTGATGTAAATACTGCAACTAAAATACCGGGCAAGCCTATTATAAACTCTCTAGATAACTGGGCTTATGTAACGCCTCAAAATGTCATTAAAATAATCAAACAATTCAAGAACACAACTAGTCAGAGTCAGGATATTTATGGCTTAAACATCATTGTACTGAAACATGTGACATGAAACATGAACGACCTCGGGCAGTTAGGCAACGTCTTGCTTTTTGCGGA